GCCCTTATAGACCCTTTTCATAAATGGCTGCCAATTATAAATTCTTTTGTATGTATTTAAATTAGCCTGACTAACCTTGTTCTTGAGTTGATAATTCAAAAGAATTTTTACTCCCAAACGAGTTTTGAGAGACTAATTTAAATACATACAAAGAATTTTAAATTGGTAGCCATTTATGAAAAGGGTCTATGTAGGCTGCGCAAAAAGCGTTTGCAGTACGAATAGAGCTTCTCTCCAGCCCCAATTCTCGCGCGGCCAGTATACGAAAAAAGATCTTTCGTCGTGGGGGAAAACCATTCCAACGCAGACTACCCTTGTGCAGGCAAGACGCGGAGTTCCCCAAAACACTTGGATTCAAGGGCCTTCGAACCACAAGAAGATGAACAGTGGTATGAACTAAACTCAACTTTATTCAAAATAAAATCTCATTCATATATAGCCCGAATAACAACAGTCCATTCGAGTCGATCACAAGTTGTGCACTCCACCAGTGTCACGCAGCGTGGCGTCACTAAAGAGCAACTTCCGATCGACTCGAATAGACAGCCGAGATTCGCACTGATTCATATAGATCTCCGATCAACAAAACTTTAAATAGTCATTCGTAATAGATCTCTTTAAAAAACACTTGTACGTGGAAATACTAATTGATTTTTCTATTTACAAATTCAATGCAACTGGAGTACATATTTGATCTAATAAACTTCAATAATTTAAACCACACAAAAAACTGGAAATACAAAATAGATCGATCTTTCAGTTGAAACAATATAAGATAATTTCTGAAGACTTCCTGAAAATTAAAAAAATTAACTAACAACAAAGTTATGCAGTCATTACTGAGGATTGAACTCAGTAGTATATACACAAAAATTAAAATGACCCAATTCTGACTGACGCAAGACAGTTTCGTTAATTTTCGCCAACCGAAAACCTCACTCCTAAGATCTCAGGCTGTCTAAAGGTCTTCGAGAAATTTCCAAAAGTACAAAACTTATGAAGATCAAAGTAACAGGGGGACAACATCTATCTCCGAAGTTTTGCACAAATTAATTTGTCCCCTGTACTTAGCAGAAAATAGGGGTTAGGCGGTTTTTTCGAAAAATAAATTTTGCATTGGACAAATTATGATGGGTGGTTTTTTTTTAGGAAAATAAGCTGTACATATGGTACAAATGAAAAAAGGTATGGCTTTAACAAAAGTTATTTCAAAATAATTTAGAAAAAAAGTCCCCTTCGTAATTTTTATGTATGTAATAATGTATTATAACGATAATAAAGCTAAAGCTACTCCTTCATCTGAAGTAAAAGAGAAGAAAACATAACGCTGTTACAATGGCTGAATAACAAAATCGGTCAGCGAGAAGTCAACCTGACGCCTCGTTTTAATCGACAAGAAAAAGAAAGCAAAATGAGCGCATTCGTGGTCATCCATTACAGAAATCTACTCTTTTGGGCGCCAATTTCTAAACGACTAAAGGGCAAACAGGATCAACAGTTAAAAGAACCCTTCTGCACTTTGTAAAGAAAACCCTATTGCAAAAGCTGATGATACCAATTATCTAAGAACTACATGAAAAGACAACAAGATGGAAAGCAAAGAAGAAATTCTTAACCGAGCGTTAGCCACGCAGGCATAAATAAAGCGAGAAAACGAGAACGTCTGTTACTAAGCCACTAGGCATTTTACACGGTCCATTACATTCTAAAACTCTGCAGATCAACTCTACTAAGTAAACTTGAACAGTAACTACATCTACACAGACCTACATGACTAGACAAGGGGTGGTTCCACCCACCCTCCCAACCCCCGCAATAAGAA